ACCCCAATGTCTTAACCAATGTCTAAACCAATGTCTTAACCAATGTCTTAACCAATGTCTAAACCAATGTCTTAACCAATATATCTAAATAGTATGATTATGCGTCAGCATAGTCTGCGTTAATGCTCGGCAACAACGCCTCAGTTTTAATCCCTAACACATGACTTACGCAACACACGCCAGTCTAATCCCCCTGCACATGACATCAACGTGTGCCCCTATTCATAGGCATGAGACCTTCCATTTCGTGCACGCCTCGCCCGTGCTATTTCCATTCACACGCATATTGTAAGCTCATACTCTCGTGACGGTCATTTGCCTAATCCTACTTGCCATGCAATTGTCAAGCTTTCCTGTATCCAACTTTGCCTTAGCATAGTCATTCTACGTTCAGCAAGCGACCTGAACCCGTCTCTAAGCTATCCCACCCACCCACTACCTTATAATTTAAGCATTCAAATCCTGCATCAACCTGTATTATTTCCACATTGTTTCAATAAAGTTAAGGGGGGTTGTCATCGCAGTGCATGCGGACACCACTCGATTAACACGCTGCCATTCTTCGTGAATAGAGTCAAACATGCGACTCTGTGCACGGAAATGGTATCTGCAACGACGGTCGGGTGGTGACCCCTGCGTTGACTGACCTCGATCAAGTACCAAGCTAATCTCTCCGTGATGTGACTCAAAAAGCGACTCACATCACGGAACAGGTTTCGGCGACGACGCTTGACCGTGGCTCACACCCCTTCTGCTCTCAGTCAAGACCTGGTCTCTAGTGTCGTTTCTTAGCATTAACCAATGTCTAAACCAATGTCTAAACCAATGTCTACCCTAATGTCGAAACCAATGTCTACCCCAATGTCGAAACCAATGTCGAAACCAATGTCGAAACCAATGTCTAAACCAATGTCTAAACTGAGACTGAAATTTGTGGAATATATTGAATGTTACTAAGTCAATGGAAATGTGTTCTTATTGTTTTGAAAAAGCTGCTTTTTGAAAGTTTACAGGGAAGTGTTTTCTAGTAGTTGACATACTTGATGGTTCACTATCTAGTGGCAAAGCATGTTTTTTAACTCCATATGTGTTATTCGCTGTCAGTGTGCTGATCTCTGTAAATACTACTGATATGGTTTCAGTTCAGGAAGACCTTCACATTCACAACAAATTTGTTGTATTTATTACATCAAAGTACACTTAAGATTTTTGTAACTAATTGACTTTTTGATTGATAATCCTATATAAAAAAAAAAAAACATTTGTAGAATTACCAAATATGTTTTTGTAGCTTGATTAAATACACATTTAATTGTCTGTGCTTTATCATTGTAGGGTAAATATGAAAGAAGACTTAGGTTTGTCAGGGAACAGTTACAAATTATTGAGGAACAGCAGAGGCAGCAGAACTTTGGTGAAGCTGAACAAGAGAAGAAACAAGCTGAATCTGAGAATGATAGACAAACCACAAGCTTTAAGGAAGAATTGTTGAGAAAATACCAAATGAGAGATGGGAAGGTGAATTCCAGGAAAGTGTTGGAAGTACTGAGGAAAGAAGAACGCAAGCAGGATAAGGTTAGTTAAGACTATAGAAAGATTACAACATGATATCAAGTTGTGCAACAGGAAAACCATATCATTTTTGGCTATAATTATTAATTTTGTGTATTTTAAATAGGATTTTTCACAAGAATTATGATTGTCAATATTGAGATTATATGAGTTCATTATTAGAAAGCCACACTAAGTATGCACTAGGACAGTACAATTACTGTATAGCTATGACCATGTGTTGTATAACTTTGTAATAACCATCTTTTTTGCCCCAAAAAGTAATACTGTAGTAACAATACTTGCACATCTCCTAAGTACATCAATTCATACTGTTTTTGTTTAATTAATACTAACAGATACTAATACATGGTTTGTTCAAAAGTACATGTCTATGAACAACACAAAAGGCAGCATTTG